GTAAAGAATATATATATATATATATATATATATACTAATAGACCAAATTTCTCACAAAACGCAATTATTTGAAACAAATAAAAAATTATATATTACACTATTATTTAGTGAAAGCACTTTTTCATTTATTGAATTTTTGTGTCAATATCTTGAATAAAATAAAAGAAGTTTTTTTCTAAAAACAATAAATACTTCTGAAGTGTTATTTTGTGATTCATTCAAATTTGAGAATTCAGAAGCGTGATTCATAAACCAAAACCATAATTGTTCACGTGCACGACCAAATTTAGGTCTATAAGGCTTTGGCGAAATGTTTAGCTTTAAAAAAAAAATCGCCAACTTCTAATGAATTCTCCAGTATCTGGGTCATCAGAAAGAAAAAAAACTTGAACATTTGCTGTCTCGCTTTAAGTAATTTTCAATACCGAAATAAAATTCCAAATAACCTTTATAAGAATGCAAATTAATTTACAATATGCTTTCAGTGAACGTAGATTCATAGAAATTATTTTTTTAAAAATAGTATATGTCTAGTAAGTTTTTAATACGTCAGATATAATTGAATCAATCGCTGTGCCCCAGCTTTCTTTTTTTTCTCTTTTAAGTGCGTTTAAACTAGAAGATTATTTAACTTATTGAATTGTGATAATAGTTTATGTGTACTATATAACACAGCTTATTTAAAATGTGGTTTTAATATTGCTTTTGAGTAATGATTAGACAGTTTAATGTTGTCCCAGTATTTTTTCAACTCTGATACCTTAATTATTGTTTTAAATTATTTCTGTTGAGTTGGCAACAATGGGTCACAATGGCTCTCAAGGTGTTCCATCTTTAAAGGTATCTATTTTAAAAATTGTCAATGCACTTGCTGCACTTTAAGAAGATAAAGCGCTGTCAAAGTCAGAATGTTTTATTTACTTTCTCCTCCATTGCTAGTATTACTGTTTTAAATTAATTGTTCGAATGTTCATGTAATTTTGAATGGTAAGATAGGCTTTTGCCGCCAAAAATATCCCAAAGGTCACGAAGATCGTAGAATTAGCGACGATCTTCCACCTTTTTACCGTTTATAAGTTGTTATTGAGTGCCATGAGTCAAGTAAAATATGTAAAAAGATAAAATGTAGATTTTAGGGGAAATGGTGTGCTGTAGGCAAACAACAAAAGTCGATTCGTTATTTTCAGCCAAAAATATACATGAAGTACTTATCTCCCTCGATTAGATATTATTCATGTCGTGCATAGTTATTTTAATTCAGAAAATATACATAAGGGTTTTTTCTTACGTATTCTCTAGTTACATTTAATATGCAGTTTAATAAATTAAAAATAAATATTTTGATGGTGGCTTTTTGAAAGAAGTCATGACAAAATATCAATTTGCAAATCGCAGGAAAACATAAAAAATTTTCACAACTTTTTTATTATTCCATGCACAAGACTTGTGACAGTCAACTATTATGTAATAAATTCTAATATAATGTAACCTATTTTTTAATTAAACCTTGAAAGTAGGAAGAAAAAAAAATGAGGAAAAAGGAATTTTTGCTGAAAGGGAAACCGCTTATTGTAATTATAGCGAACACAATTCAACACGCATTTCACAGTAATAATGTTCTAAAATTAGAATACAATTCCTAAACAATATTAAAAATAAAAGATTTCATTCAACACATAATGCATATCTGAGTATACCAAATGGATTTACATTAAGAGAATGTTCTTTAATTGTTCATAGAAAAAATGGAAGTTGGTTTTTTCCTGGCATGAATAAAATTTAGTCATTCGAAATTGTTTGGAGAAAAAAAATAGAATGTGTCAACTCTTTCTAAAAGTATTTACGTTTATGCGTTTTATTGTAAAAGACGTATTAAATAGTAAAGAAAGTGAAATGACACAGTCTCAATCTGTTCATGTGCAAACAATCACACAAAGTGATTCTGTTCAAATAAAATGTTGCAGCTTAATACTGTTTAGTAGGTATTGTATGAAACATTAAAATAAAAGAATAGACCCCCTCCCTCCAAGTAAAATACTAGTTGGGCAGTGAAACTGTCTCTGTCAGAAAAATCAAGAGTAACTTAACCTTGTACCAAATTTGCCGCAGCCTTAATAATGCGTTAAATTGAACCCTATATCCGTTCAAATTGAACTATTATCGTGTGACAAAGTTTCAGTTGTACGATAAAATTCTTCCACCTGGTTGGTGCCGCGTCCATTTTAAAATTAAACGTGTCCATGGACCTGGATCTCTCTATTCAAATCAATAATCACGATAAAACTAACCCCGAAAATGCAGTACCCAGATTTTTGCTGGACGAAGAGTTCAAGTTCTTCTTCTGGGAATTTCCTACAAATCCTGTCGGACTTTTTGCTACCATCTTCATTTAAATTCATAATGTGGTTCTTAGTCTAACAATAATATTATAAATTTTCCTATTTGAGTTAATTTTGAGAATTTGATGATTTATCTTGATCTCAATATCAAATTTTTTTAATGGCATTACATCCGTGTTTAAACCTACACCATACATGGTTATAATCACTCCAATGAGGTGATAGAAAACGTAAACCATATTGCGGTTTAAAACGCAACTGAGATTTTACATTTTACAGGTGAAAAAAAGATTTCGATACAAAATATGCTTTAAGCAGAATATAAAATGACTTCAAAAAATCGTGAAGCTATTAGGTAATTGTTGGTTAGATGACCATATAAGAGAGATGACCAGTTTAAATATTTCCTATATTTTTTAATATATTACAGCAGATGCAGGAATTAATTTGAACAATGTGCTGTTTTCCGTGATAAGGCGTATATAAGAAGAATAGCACTTATGGCAAATTTGAAATTGTGCCCTTAAACAAATGTTTTAATTTTTTTAAGATACCTAATGAAAGTAATATTTGATGTATCTTAGCTATATTGTAAAAGATCCCATTTCATTTAAGAAAAAATAGAATTTCAACAAACTATAACAAATAAACTATCTAACTGTAATAGTATTTCATTTATGCGTATTAGAAATCACCTTTGATTAAGAAATATAAAGTCAGCAAAATATACTTATAGCAGATACTATTATGCTTATTTCAGACAGAATAAAAAATAAACGCAACTAATTTACGCAGTTAACGTTTGAAATTTAACAGACATTATATAGTTTTAAAAAAAAAATGCTGCTTGCAATTGAACACAATTTAGAAATAAATGACTCTCATTAAAAAAATTAAGCTGAAGTAAGATTACATTCGAAGAATAATCATTATTTTACTTACAGTAAAATAGTAATTTAATAAGCTCCTGATTAATCTGAACTAAAATTCTCATATTAAAATAAAATAACGTAAGAGTTCAATACAAATAATTACGATCTGTTATATCAATTTGTAATTTAATTATAACAATTAATTTACATATTTTCGCTAATTCTTAATTCCTTATAAAGTCCTCAGAGGTAGAGAAAAATCATAGAAAGGGATACATAATATAGGGCTGCCCTTATATTTAATAACAGAAATTAAATAAAGACTTCAGATTTTTTCATAATTTTTTAAAATATTAAAACGCTTAGCGCTTTTTTCTCTTTCTTTCTTTTCGTATTTAAGACACCGAACAAATCAGAAAAAAAATTAAACCGGTGATTAAAAATTTCAAAGTTTATATATGCAAGTTGGATTGCTTAATTAATATGCTCCTAGAATTAGTGAAACAACAATAATAATAAATGAATTATTCCGAATAGCTGTTATCGAATAACGGATAATGTTAAAATTGTGCAACAAAAAATATGTGTTCTTTTTTTCATTTCAATCCCGCAATTTATAGTAGCTTATATAATGAAGACTGCATTTTAATAAATAATTGTGCAGAATTTGAAAGGTGAATTACTCTTATTCGCATAAGTTAAAAATAAAGCTTAATGACTTTAAAATTAAAAAGTTCAATTAACTTAGAAGCTAGTAATTCGTATTTAAAAGCGAGATTATTCTGTCTCCTGTGCATTTGTAAAAGAAACATATCTTGCATCTCTATCCTTAGTACTTCGATTTATATATATATATATANTTTTTTTTATAAGTTTCTAGGTGTACTGATACTTTTGAGCGGTACTATATATATATATATATATATATATTTTATAGAAAGATTATTTCAGAAAATCATTAAGATATATAAAAAATACATTTCAAAAACTAATAAAAAAACTGGCACGCTTCAATTGTTTGAAACAAAACGAGATAGAACTTTTAGAATTCGCCTAAATAAAGATGTCCTCTTACTTTTATTTCCGCTATAAAGTTTCAACTTTTGTTATGTAATTTTATTTATTGTGATGAATTTTGATGTGTTATGCAGCATTTAATAACTGTTTATTCATAAAATGTTTCATACATTGACCTAGAAAGGCATCGAACTTAATCACGGAAGCGCTATGATGGTATACAATGTGAAAATTTTACTCTAAAAATCGACCTTGATTAAACACGCGATTTTTATTGTGAGAAATTGGAGTAAACCTTATATGGGCCCCTTTAACAAATACACTATCTACTATGAACAGATTGAAGTTAATTTACATTATTGTTTATATTGGCTATATTTGTTTTACATGTTAAGTAGACTAGGAGAAAAAAAGTTGTGGTAAAATTACCGTTCTGCAATAATATTTCTGGCAAGAAATAAATAAATGAAAAATAAAAAAAAATTAGTAAAAAATAAAAATGTAAAAAATAAATAAATTTGGTAATAAAAACCGAAATATATTGTGTTTAAACTATTCAGCCGGTAATTGTTTAGTTTCTACAGTAACGGTTTACCGGAAATTCTGGCTTTCAGAATTATAGTTTTTATCCCCACATATTTAATAAAAAATACAAAATTGAAAATTAAATTTTTTACCAAATAAATGATTTTAATGCCATGCTCTAAGGTATGATAATAAAATTACCAAATTTTATAATCTATTATTAAACAATATCTACTGTTTACTATACCAAAATCAATACCAAAGAGCTTCGGTAAAAATTACAAAGCTTTTTGGTGTTCCCAAACAGCAAGAAACAGTAAATTTTGTCTTATTTTGACAGTTAGGACCCTACTTTTTTTTCAGAGTAAGTTCCAATAAAGTTGCAGCTTTTGTTAAACAAATGTTGAGCCTGTTTACAAATCCTTCTAATAAAATCTGCATTTTATGTTTAAACTCAATAACTAGAAAACTTTTTAATGAAACTATCAAAAAAGAATATAATGATGAATGTGAAACTATAATTAACCAGATTCGCGAGAACAGTTCAGAAAGTCTTCAAAGTGAATAAGACCATGAAGTACTGAAACTCCCATTTTGGGACCATGTCATTTCAAAATGACAAAGACTTTTAATTTTAAATATTTAATTCTTGAAATTTATTTTAGATAAATAAAAAATTCGTGTCTACCGTATCTACATTAATAAGATAATATTTTTGTATTTATTTATTCATTTATTTCGTAATCTGACATTATATTAACTAAAGTGGTAGTTGACACTGTAATTATCTACTTAATTTGAACTCACGTATTTAACCACTTTTCTCTTGAAGATTCTTTTCACAACAGTACAAAAACGTGCATTTTTCCCCAGTCGGCATGGGATGAGTTAATATAAAAAGGAAAACTATATAATAACTTATAAACGCCAATTGTCTTATTGTGAAATAATAAGTAAAATATGAAATTCAAAAATAAGCAATATTTATGATAAATGTGGAATCAAAATGAACCATATTTAATTTACTATCATTTTAATTTTGTGATAGTTATAAAATATTTATTTGAAATGAAATGGGGCGAAAGACGTATTATTAATAAAATTTTAAGTAAGATAATACTATATAGGAATTTCTTTTTAATAACTAGTCATATAAACTGTTGGAGTAGTATGCTACTTCTCTAAACATATTGAATTAACAGAATTAAGTTTCGGGCTTTACGTTATTTGCAAATATATATATAGATATATATTTGCAAATAACGTTAGTGAAGTCATTCTATATGCATGTCATTACTGAATTTGTTTAAAAGGCAGGTTGAAAGTAGTTGTACTTTACTAATTAGTTGTTACTTTACTAATTAGTTGTTACTAATTTACGTTACTATGTCGTTGTGTCCGGGTGATGTACGATGTTGCTCTTATATATTTATTCTGTATTTTAAGTAATTATTTCAGTTGCTTGGTGTATTGAGATGGTACTTATTTAATAAATGATATTTGAATCGAGAAGTTTCATCATGTCAGTTGCCATATTCACTCACCGTCAACTGTGTGTTCTCTCACAACAACGTGATTTATATGAGCGGTTATAATTTTTTTTTCTAGTTTTACATTCCATTGCAGCTTTTGTTTCTTCTTTTAATAGTGCCAATAGGGATATAATAACATTTTTTGAATGATTAAAGAGATTTTTCTTAAAGAGATTAAGAAGAAAAATAGTAAATTAATTTTACTCATAACACTATCTTATTTAAAATAATTAGCAGTTCAAAAGACATATTTTTAATATCTATCCCTTATACAAACATATTTCTTTTCTATTATTTTTATATTCTGTTATTTTCATGTAAAATAAATGATACTATTTCTATCATATTATTTTTAAATGATATGAAAGAAATTCAACACTGCAATGTGCAGTCTTATATGAACTATTATATGTAAACTTTGTCATTATGGTTATGAAAATAAATAAGAAATTAATTTACTTACGAGGATTTGCTTTTGATAGTTTAATGTTTTCAGGAATTGCTAAAAACAACATGAAAACACGTCACAAAAATGAAGTATAATATTTAGTACAAAATTGCAGAAATATTAATTTGGTTTCCATAGTTTACATTTAATTATAATTAATTACTATATATGAAGCATGAAATAATATTTAAGAGTTAATATTATTTCATGAAGAGTCATTTTAAGAATTTGCATTATATTCTAGTTGAGAAACAATGTTTTCAAGTCAATTGAAATAGCGACTTAGTAATTATTATTTATCATAGACGTTAACTGCATTAGATATATTAACAAAATCGTGAGAACCATAACTGTACTTATTTAAAATAATTAATCATTTAAATTTTTAAAAAAAATCAATTAAAGTTTATAGCATATAAGTATATGTGCTCCGTAAAGATATCCTTTATTACGTCAAATTATTAAACTTCTCAAAAATTAAAACAAAAAAGTATGCAGATTGACTGTCATAAATTCATATTTAAATGAGTAAAAAACAAAGCACAACCGAAATTTGGAAAATTACAATAGAGGAAGGCATATCTACTATGCAACAAAACAGGTTTAACTGGATGTTGAAATTGAAATTGTTTCGAATCAAAAATTGAAAAATTTTGCAACTCTTCTCTATTTCCTCAATAAGCAAACCTGACTTGTTGTTTATTGCATTCACCATGCCGTACTTTGATTTTTCAGATTTTGACAGCATTTTTGTTTTTCCTAGCGTAAATATTAATTTACGATTCTCACATTGAGAAATTTTTTTTTATATAAGCAACTGGACCATGCCACAATTTACCGTGCTTCCGGCTCAATGGCAACACTAAAATGCTCAATAATTTCTATCGAAGCACTTTGGTAATGGTATTGGAAAAATTAACAATACAATGTATTTTTATAATATGTGATAAAATTTAGTAATTTTATCATGATACCTTAGGTGATGGCATGAAAACCATTTATTCACTTAAATTTAGTTTTTAGTTTGTATTTTTTAGTAAATGTGCAGTAATAAGAACCATAATTAACCAGAATTTCCGATAAGCCGTTTCATATAAACGGAAAAATTACTAAATAAATAGTTCAAATACCGTAAATTTCGGTTATTATTAAGAGAAATACAGTTTTTTTTACCAAAACTTTTATTATCATGTAGTACTGTAATTAAACCAACTTTTTTCCGCGAAATGGGCATAGATTTCATTCTTAATTATTGATAAGGATTTTAAAAAATATATATTAGGTGATCTTATTTTACAAGGAAATATAATAAAAGTATCGAAAATTAAGTAGAAAAAAATAAATAAATTGAAAATGAGATATTACTTTTTCATCAAAAATTCATTATTACTGAAAAAATTAGTTGGTGCTTATAAGCTTTTAAAAACAGTTAAATATAACATGCTCATAAATAAATAACCTTGCCTTTAGTTGCTTAACAGCATAAGGTTTGTATGATTTTAGAATCTTAATCTTATTTTTTCTAAAAAAATGTTCAAGATTTAAACTTAATTGTTTAGTAAAAAAAAAAAATACGCAACTTTTTTCAACTTTAATTCTAAATAATTCTTTTACCACATTTTCATAAAAATTATGTTTAAATTTATGTTACATATCTTCTTCAGATTCTTAAATCGCAATTAGTTTTAAATTAATGAAGTTATATCAATAAAAAAAATACCCAACAATTAATTGAAGCTGATAAAAATATAAACAAATAATCTAAATATTAAAATAAACTGCCATACTAATTTAAAATCTAAACAAAAATCTCTCTTAAGAAAAAATTCAGTATCAGAAAATTTCCTGGAACTCGACGAAATCATGGAACATGAAAATAACACTAAATGGGGAAGGTTAAAAAATTACCCAGAAGCAATAAAAATCCAATTAAAATATTAAAAATTAAAAAGTAACATGAAAAAAAACTTTTGAAACTTACCAAAAAATAGAAAAAGTGTGATGAAAGAGGAAAGGAGGGCAGTTGAATCCATCTGTGAGCTTCAACAGTCAGAGTGAAAGTGAATGGCAACATTCATGATACTTTAATATGTCAACAAAAGTCAATAACAAAAAATAGAAAGGAAAATCATCTCATTTTTTGTCGGGGCTCCCCACTTTTTTTTATTTATCTTTTTCATCTTTTCATTTTTCTAAGTGTACGAGCACGCATTGTTCTCAGCATACTATGAATGCTTTAGTTTGAGAGGGACAGTTTTCCCTTTTGAATCTTTCATGTCATTTGTGAAAAAAAAGAAAGAAATTCCGTCGAGTTTTAGCCGCACGAGTGGCCTTTAAACTAATCAAAGAAAATATTGCATGTGATACAAATAATATTACGATTACATTAGGTAATTCAGTTGAAAATGTACGCTTCCGATTTAAAAATAGAACTCAGATCTGAATAATCAAAAAACCATTATAATAAAATAAGTCTTTTTTTATGAAACAAGCGTTTTTTCATGAATAAACTTTCATTTTAACATTATTTGGAAGACCTTACAAAGTAAAAAATTCAAGAGTATGAAACTTCGTGTTAGTAGTAAGTGATTGTATATATATACTACATAAAAGTAAATTTACATGACAGACAAATAAATATTTCAAGAGGATTTTCAACCGGAAATGTTTGAAAAAGTAGTGAGTGAAACTCAATAGACAATTCCTCAAATTCGACCAAAAAAAATTTTAAATTATCAAAAAATGGAAGTACTCTTTAAATCGTTATAAGTGCTTCAATATAATTATATATTAAAACAATATTTAAATAATCAATATAAAATTTTTATTTTTTTATCTATTGAGAACATATTTTTCATTAAAACTAAACAAGGTATTGATGATAACCTCAATAGATAAAAAAAATTCTTTTAATATTTTTAATTTAATTATGCGTAAAACCAAAAACTGGACAAGATATAATACTTTCATAGTTATAAAATAAAAATTCAAGAAATTATATTTCCTTAAAAATGGGGAGATAATTCTTTTCTTAATGTGCCATTTTCCTCCGAAATCTCTCTGAACCCAAAATTCATATTAATTTTATTTTTTATGTCTTCAAAGACCTTAAGTTGAACCCCAGGAAATAATATAAAAGAATCGGTTTAATTCAATTCTGTTTATTTGATATCAATTTTTAAAGTAAATTTTATAGTTTTCAACTTTTTCTATTTAACCAATATATTTCCATTCTTTTTTCTCCATTGGAAAAATATTTTGCATTTCAAATCATCTTCTCTTTAAATATATCTACAATATGTTCTTATTCAGTAATTAAAGAAAAATGTAAAACATTAGAGTAAAATTTTTCGAAGAAGGAAAATTTGCCTGATCTAAACAGGAATGTGCAATGCAGAACACACGATTTGTTTCCATGATCGTTTTTGCTCTTCGCTTTTATTATCAAAGCAAAAAAGAAATTGTTACAAATTTACGTTACTTTAATTAGTAGCATTGGATAAAGCAATTTTTTTTCTCTAAGTTAATTAATTAAATTCAATATTAACTATTCGAACTATTTATAGCTATAATATATTTATATTTCAAGCTGTTTCTGGATAGTATGTTCTGATTAAAATATTTATGTTGAAAATATCATGTGATTAATTATTTCCGGTAGAAACATTTATGCTGTTAAATACCATGGCTTTAGTCATTTCTGATAGAATTATTAACGCTGCTAAATACCATAGCATTAATATTCTATTTTATGGGGAATTGAAGCATTTTTAAAAAATTCTAAGTCAAAAGATGGTGAACTAATGATTTTATTACCTAAATTATCAGTCCTATTACCTAATTTAAAACTTCATTCGTTTCAAACATATGCAAATAGGAAATAACAGTCGTCATGTTTCAAGCCCTTCAAAAATAGGAGCCCATTTTCTAGACTTGCCAGCCATGAATGTGAAGAAACAAAAAGGATTTGAAATAAAAACGTAAAGTTAGCAACAAAAAATGGAAAAATTAAGAAGAAAAACAAAACTAGAAAAACCACAGTAGCCGAGAGGAAAAAGATTAAAAACAGAACAAGAAGAACCGCAGTAGTCGAGAAGGGCAAATCAAGGTGAAATGCATTTCCACACACCATGGAGGGCTGGGGAGGGACTATTGCTGTTAACAAGAGAATCAGCATACGAACAAAACAAGATTTCAAGGCATCAAGATAAGCAGAGGTGACAGTGGTGAAAAGAATTTTGGCATTATTGAATTTGAATTTGTGTCCAAGATTCCAACAATGTGCAGCGATTGATGATTTTCCGAATTCTTGATGACGGATGAATCTATTGTGTTCCTTAAGTCTAAATTTTGAAGCGCATTTACATTGCCCGATGTGTAGCCAAGGTCGCACTAGCATGGAATGTGATAAATACCTCAGTGATTATCAAAGTTAATAGGATCTTTAAGAGATTAATTAAATTTGGTTTTGCTTACAGGCCTAGAAATGACATTGAATTTAAAACGGGAGGAGGTATTATCATATATTAGTATATATAGGTCGAAAATTTTTTCGCCATGCTATCACATTTCCCGCTATTTAGCGCATATCATCTCACCTCTAATTTCCAACAATATCCATACTGTTAAAAATTCCCATGAATTATTTTCCCAATTCGCACAACTTTCCAATCTCTAATTAAACTATGCTCTCTCTTTATGTAGTTTCTATTTTCACTAATTTCCCCTTTTCTCCTGCTATTGATTACCTAAAATTATGATTGCAAGAATTTCGCTAATCCTTCATTGAAATTGATGATATTATATCCCTTGTCAATTTCTGCATTCAGCATTCAATTCAAGGGCAATTTCTATAAACAAATTAAGGGTCTACCCATGAGCAATCCCCTCTCTCCCATTCTTTGCGACATTTTCATGCCAACCCTTCTGTATTTGATTTAACTCTTACTAAACTCACTGGAACCAAACATCCCCCTTCTTCTAATAATTACAGAGAACTTACAGCTTAACCTTTTTTTTTTCTCCCGTTCGTTAAAATATCCTCTCCCATTTTTTAAAGTCATTTTTAGGCCGGTAAACAAAATCAAACTTAAGTTTCTTAAAGATTCTATTAGCTTTGATAATGGCAGGGGTTATCCATTTCCCTTGTTAATTCAACTCAGGCAATAGCGGGCAAAGTAAACGCGCTTTAAAATTTAAACTTAAAGAACATGATTGATACGTTCGTTATCAAGAATTCGAGAAATCATCAGTTGATGCCATATATGGCAACGTTACTTTTAAAAAGTAACGAGTAAAATTACAAGTATTTTTAAAAAAAAGTAACGAGTAAAGAGTACAAGTAAAAGTACAAGTACTAAACGAAAAAAGTAACGGTTTAAAAGTACATTTCTCGGAAATCGAAAATTCAAGGTAATCTAAAATTTTATTGAATAATATTCTTATGTTCTTTAATGTTTTTGCATAATTGTTGTTATTTATTTAATTATTTTTAATTTTGAAAGTTATGGACATTAATTTCTTTTTAAATTCGGAAGAATATTATAATATAATTTTATAATATAATCATATAACATAATTTTAAAATCAAACATAATTTTAATATCAAACTTTTTATTAATTTGCACGAAAAAGAAATTTTATCTATTGATTGTAATTTTTAGTTTATTATTTTTATTTATTTAAATTACCATTGATTTAAAATTGTTTTATTCTATAGAAACGCGTTTTAAAAAAACAAACATAAACAAAGCAAACACGTGATTTCAGATAGCTTTATGATCTTTGAGTTAGTAAAAAATAATTGAATGTGCAGTATAAGTTGAAACAGAACAGTCTACAGTTTTATTTGTAGCAATGGCTAATGCTGAAGTCATGCGAGAAAATCATTTTCCGAACATTTCTGCCTAACGGAATAATTAAAATTTGTAAACGAATTTTAGTATCAGCGGTTAAATTAATACCTTCGAGTTTTCCAGAGTCAAAATAGTTATTATAATAGTTTTCAATTGCGCAAATAGTTCTGAAGTTCTTACTGGGCGTTGTTTGACGAGGTCGGGCATAAACATAATTTTAGTAAAAAATGTGCTAGGTAAAAATGTATTTAGTAAAAAATGTATTAAAACAGAAATGTATTATTAGTGAGTTCAAAAAGAAAACTGAAAAACGTAATAACAAAATCCAACATTTTTTCCAACATCAAAAGAGTCGTCTTTTCCCTTTCAGGAATGACAATTTTAAAAGGTCAAGGTATTGAAGCACGAAGTTAGCTGTGAATTACATATATATTGCACATTAATTTTATAAATTAAAAAAACATCAGCATTTTTTTTAATTAATTTTTTTTTAGAAAGCTTACCGAGTTTTAGAAAAAAGTAACGATTTCATTCGACATTTCCGTTACAAATACTTGTACTTTTTCCCTAAAAAAGTAGCGAAAGTGCAAGTAAAAGTACTAAATTTAAAAAATAACGAAGTACAAGTAAAAGTACGTGCTTTTTACTTGTACCGGTGGTACAAGTAACGAAAGTAAAAGTACTGCCATATATGGTTGTTGCACATTGTCGTCTTTGATATATTAAAAGAAATATATACATTAGAAGCAATTTCTCATTTATCTAGATAGAAATGTTTAAGTTCTCCAATTTACTTCCCCTTTCTATCCCCAACAAAACACAACGCACAAAATTGTACAATGCCCCCAAAAAAATTTACCCTGAATTCTTCACGTTCTAAAACACTCAGTTGTGAGGTTGACCATAAATATGCCAATTAATTAGAGCAGACAATATTCTAAGTTACGAAATTAGACCTAAAAATTTAACTTTCGCTGAATAAACATACCTTTTTTCAAATGAATTGGAATTTCTGACCCTCATAATATAGGGGGTTGCCGTAATCTGAGAAATATGGTCAGCATAGTTTAGTCAGGAGAGCGATGCAGAGCTTAGACCCCTTAATGTTAATTTTACGTTTTGCGTATTTTGACACATCTCGAGAACTTAAGCAAATTGAAAAAATTTTGCAGTTATAAAATTTGTTTCTTCAAAGATGATTCCACGCGAAAAATAAATTTT